ACACTTAATAAGAGATGCTAACATTTCGGAATAATATGATTTTTAGTTTTAAAACTTTCTTTCAATTATCTATTTAGCCAATGAGCTTTGACAAAATACAACTCAATTCTTATAATTTATTAAATTAAAAAACTATATAAATTGAGTTGTATTTGTTAGATATAGCAATACACCCAAGAAGCGGGTAAATGGGGTGTTAATCAAATTTTGGTGCTTTAGAACTTTTTTCCCAATAAAACAAAGTATAAGAGTAAGTTTAATTTGAGCAAATTTAAGCTCTAAACTTTGATTGCAAGAATGTTAAAATGATTTTTGCAAGCTCAGTATGTATAAAATTAATTTTTAAGTGAAAGTTTAAGTAAGAGTATGTAAATATGTTAAGTTCAATTTTTCACATAAAAACAAAGCATAAACTAAGGTTGTTAAAAATATTAAGAGAAAGGAAAGAGATATTGCAAGTAATGGTTTATTTAGCTCCAACCACTTAAGCTTACCTTCAATTCTCAAAACACTTTTGAAATTTCTCCACTATAAGACAAGCTTAATTGGGTGTTTGTCACCACATTATAACTATAAGTTTAGTCTGGGCACTTATAAGCCGTTATAGCAGCTCACTACACTAATTAGCTTTTTCTCCCAAGAAAACAATGTCTTTTGATTACAAAAGAAATCTTTCCCTCACTTTTACAAGGATTTCAAATATATAAAGCACTCTATTAAAATTCTCTCTGAGAGCAATAATGAATGTAATGAAGCTCTAGTACTCAAAAAGGAAGATATAGATGATATTGGCCTAAGAATAATGTTTTTTTTAAATGATAACAATATGAAGAACTTAAATCTCACAACCCAATGATTTCTGAGATTAATCAAGTTAGAATAGGTTTGGAGTGTTATATTTATATTTCATAGAGTGAAATAGCTGTTGGAGACTCATTTTGACCATTTATAGCCATTAGGAATGGAAAAGGGGCACTTTTTTCAATAAATGCATGTAATGCACTGTCAGAGGCCAATTCTAGCTTGAAATGGACCATTTCTGGCATGGAATGGCAGGCAAGCTTTTATCATTGGTTCACTCATGACATTTCAAGTTTCAAGCATGGACACTAATGGTTCTCAAGCATGGAATAGACGGTAGAAGTATCTAACTTCTTAGTGTAACAAATCAAGTGTGGATTGGTCTGTTACATGCTTAGATTGGCTTGCTTAAGTTCAAGTCTCTTTCAAGTTAGGATTGAGAATCTCATTCAAGCGCGGTTCCTCAAGGATTCATGCATAGATTAGATGAAGGCACAAACTCAATCTGACATGTTATGGTTGATCCAAGCATGTTTTGGTTAGAGATTAAGTGTTAATTGGATCGTACAAGCCATTTAGTGAAGATAAGGTTCTAGAGGCTATTTCAAGCGTGGATGAAAATGATTCATGCTTGAATTGGATCATAAAGCTAGTCAGTGAAAAACAAGTCTCTAGAGGCTACTTCATGTGTAGATTGGATCACATAAGTCATTCAGTGAAGAACAAGGCTTTTGGAGGTTATTTCATGTGTGGATACCAAGGTTTTTTATGCTTGAATTGGATGTTGAAGTATTTTAAAGCTGAATCATGCGTAGGTACCATTTTCATTCACGCGTGTATTGGTAGGCATCACTTCACATAATTTAGGAAGGCTATAACTCATTCAATATAACTCAAAATCTGGCAAATTATATATCGTTGGAAAACTATTGAAGTCTATTTCAAAAAAAGAAGTTTAAAATTAAATAAAAATTATGTTTTAAGATATAATTAAAAGAATGACCAAATGTCAAAATTAAACACTATGTGAAATCAATATCTCAACACTCAACTTTTAAAATTCATATTTTTTTTCAGTACAACTCCATTTTGAATAAAATAAATATAATTGAGAACCTTATGGAGTCTATTTTTAAATAAAATATGTTTCAATTTAAAATGATTTGTGTAGTAAGAGATATTACTAAAAATATAACCAAAGTCAAATATGATATTTTGCAGAATCACATTTCAAAGCATATAATTCAAATATTCATAACTTTTTCAACTTAACTCTATTTTGAGTAAATAAAATATCTTTGAAAACATTATGGAGTTAGTGATCAAATAATTTCAAAGATTGAGTGATATATATGACCAAATATTAAAAACATGATTATAGAAAAATTATATCTAACTCTTTCTCTTAAGAATTAAAATACATGTTTTGGTTTAAAATATCTTAAGTCAATATTGTATATCTAAATCAATGAGTTTAACATAGATACTTCTTTCCTAAGGGTATTATACCTATCAAGTCTAAGGCTTTTAAGGTGCATCTAAGCTTGTATAAATATCTCCATTCTTCTTAAACTCTTTTTGGATCATCATTTTCTTCATTTTTATGTTTTTCAATCTTGAGTATAGCACGCAAATGATAACTTTAGTTTCTTCATGCTTACTCTTATCTTCACTTTAAACAACCTTAAATGATATCAAATATACAAGGTGGTTAGTTTAGGTATAAATATACATATAAGTGTAGATATAAAGGTTATGGAACTATACATATGCAAAACATTATATCCAATCCTTTAATTCTCTGGGATATATATTCACTTTAAGATGATGAAAGTATGATAGTATAAAATAACTTGTATACATATAAATCATTTTTTCAAATATCAAACATTTTTGGATATATAATTATTTTAAGATAAGGAAAAATATAAAAGTGTAAAATAACTTGTATGCATATAAATCATTTTTTCAAATCTTGTATAATATAGAACAATATAAAAAAATACTTCAAAACATTTGTTTCAAACTCATAGTTAACTTATCTATATTCATATGGTTAAGTATATATATGAGAACAATTAGGCATAAATATAGTTAACTTATTTATATTTGTCATTATCAAAACTTAAAACTAAATATAATATCATAAGTCATTGTGTCCAACACTATCAAATTAAAAAAATTATAATAATTGAATTATTCTTTGAGTCAAGAAACTATACGAATTAAATTCTTATTATTTAAAATTCAGATATGGTTGATAATTGAGAAAAAAAATTAGAAGAATAAAAGTTGTATTTTTATCTAAAAAAAAATAAGTTATATTTCTCTAAATTTTTTAAATTTTTTTGGTGAAATCTCAAAAAAAAAAAATTAAAACAAGATTATTTTTAAACTAGAGGTTTTATTTTTCTTTTCTTATTACTATAAAAATTTCATTACATTGTCCAAATATAAATATCAAACATAATTTATAATAATTACATTTTGTTTCATTTCCTTTCTTTCTTTCTTTCTTTCTTTGTTCAACATGCATGCCATACATAATTTGGATAAATAATTTCATTTCATTCCAAACAAAACATTTTTCGGTTCTTTGAAGAAAATCCTTTCACCTACTAAATCCCAAGAAAATTATTTTTTTTCTCTTCAATAATGTTGATGTGGAATGAGTGGGCCTCGTAGCTGGGAAATTTAGCATTCATCTCCACCAAGAGGATCTATATAACCAGGGGCCATATTGTGTCGTCTTCACTCTTCAGCGTACTCCAACACACCCTCAAGCTCCACCCCTCCGCCAAGCCCCCTCCCAAAAAAAAAAAAAAAAAAATCTCTCTGTTTCTGTCTCTAGAGCGTCACAGAAATCAGGCCCTGCAGCGAACTGTTCCAGGTTCAGAAATCTTTTCATATCCACTCTCTCATTTTTTTTCCTCTTCTTTTGTTTTTGAATATAGAAACTTAGTTTTACTGGGTTTTATGTGATTTCTTCCTTTTGCATCTTTTCTTTTTTGCGGGGAATAGACATCTACATATGGCCTATACTGTGGGTTTTATTTTTCCCCGTTTTCGTTTCTCTTTTAATTTTCTCCTGCTTTCATGATCCATATTTCTATTCTACAGAGAGTTTGCGGGAACTGGAAAATTGCTGTTAGGGTTCTCTGTATCTCTTGTTAGGTCAGCTGCTTTTTAACAGAAAAGTTTAAATGGTCCAACTGGCCGACTAAGTTAACTTAAAATTTTTAAAAAAATATTTTATTCATGGTATTGAAATTTTTGGTTAGCCTGGTTAGTTGAACTGATAAATCATTGAACCAATGCCTTAATTGTTCAATGAAATGCTTTATTCACAGAAAGCCTAACCATGGTGTTAACCATTGATTCTTAAACTGGCAATGGTTTCATGACTAGTATGATTTTCTCACCTTTCTTCTATCAAATAAATAGATAAATAAAACGAGAGACGATAAGTCGAACCTGTCAAAAAAAGTAATTTAAGATTGAGAAAAAGAAGTTTAGAAGAAACTTCTGGGAAGAGGAACAAATGAAATTTTGATGAAATTTATTAAAGGGAAAAATCACAAAAAAGGACATGTAAAAATGATTAATGATCATTGAAGACTGTAAAAACTTGAAATTGAATTTAAGTACTAGGGTTCTTTTCTGCAGCTAACGAATTATTGTGATTATTAAAATATCCCTAAAAATAAGTGACTAAATATGCATTTTAAACAAGGGTATTTTAGTCATAACATTATTTTTAAATTACAAAAAAGTACCGTGGTCCTGAAATTTAATTTCAACATTTTGTGATCCAGCATGGTTCTTAATTGCAATTTTGTTGGGTCTGACGAGTATTTCCAAAAGGTAGAAAACATAGCTGAGCCGTCCAGCAATTTCAAAAAGACAAATATAAAGCTGTTGCTGCCATGGACTCAGGAGGATGCATGCATGCATGTGAATTAAAGCTGCTGTTGCTTAGTGCCTCTATGCCACTGTTCATCCTTGTCTTGTCTTCTTTTCGTTCTTTCTTCATATTCTATCTTTTCCTTTCCTTCTCTGGAGTCTTCCTCCTTTTTTTCCAGTTGACCGACACAACCAGTCAACCCACTGCTTTTACTGGTTGGTTCCCTACATCCTCAATTAATTCCTTGGCCAGTTTTGGACCGACAGGTTCCGGTATGGGTCTTTTTTTTTTTTTGGGACTAAATATTCAAATAACTCTATCCTCACCTCCTCCCTTCTCCCGCTATCTTTAATTTATGTGAACTGTTGTCCTATTTTATAAGACATTTTTTTTATATATAAAAGATTTACGTGAGTTGGATCTTATTAACAATCGGAGTTAACATGAGAAGTTTATAATAAAAAGGTGTACTTTTGAAATGATTTTTTATCAATGAATCATTACTTTTTTTTCCAAAACATCTTACTTGCTCCCTCTGGATGATAATATAAATTATTATTAACTAATTTATTTTTTAAAAAAAGTTGATTAAAATCTTAATTTTTTTAAAAATTACATATCTTTCCAATTTTACCTTTGAGTATAATAAACATAACCTTTTGAATTATTCAAAACACTCTCATTAATTATTCAATAAAATAATGTTATAATTGAAAAAAAAATATAACACTTAGCTAATATCCTATAATTTAAACCAGGCAAAACTTTCAAAAAACTATTTATATTATGGTCTGATTTTTTTTTTGTCAGATATTATGGTCTGAATTGGAGGGACTATATTATAGCACAACAAATCATTGCATAAAAATATCTTATATAATGGAGGAGAGGGAGTAGTTATTTAGCTCCTATATTTTTTTATCAAAGTGAGTATTAATTTTTTTTTTTTGGTCGTTATCTTTGTTCATTTGGCTTACGGCAGGTCGGGATTCAATATTCAATGGGATCTCATCCAAACTTTTCTGGTTCATCAAATCCTAACTATGAGATAGTGAAAGACATTATAATCGATATAAAAACCAAACCGGAAGATCCGATGAACACAACTAAGAACACCATCTACAGAGTCCCATGCAATCTTCGAAAGCTGAATAAGGATGCCTACACTCCTCAGTTAGTTTCAATAGGACCACTTCACTATGGTCAGAAAAAGCTAAAACCAATGCAAACGCACAAACTTCACTACTTGGATCTCTTCATCAAGGGACGTCTCAAGGGCAAAATGGAAGCCATGGACAAGTTCAAGGACTTCCTTAAAGAAAAAGAACAAGAAATACGCCAATGCTATGCAGAAAAGCTGTTCTGTGGGCAAAAGTTGGTGGACTTGGTACTGTTAAATTCTTTATACTTTATATTGAATATGTTTCAGAATAGTCTACTTTATCAAAATAACTTAAGTCATTTGATTAGATATATCATAAATTTTATAAATTTATGATTTATCTTTTAATTCTAGATATGAGACTTCTTTTATCTTCAATAATCCATCTACTACATTTTTCTCCATTTTTCTTATTCTTCTTGTAATCTCAAGAGCTTTATGTCTATTCAGTTCTCTTCTTTTTATTCTTCTTTTCTTTCTTTGTTTCTTTTTTTCCTCTCACTGATCAAATGGCTCTAACACAATGTTAAATTCTTTATATTATGTACACTTAAGGATACCCTATTTTATCAAAATAGCTTAAATCATATGATTAAACACACTCCAAACTTTGTCTTTGCATAATTTATTTTCTAATTTTTAGATGTGAGACTTTTTTGATATCTAATAGGTACTATTGGATTCTGTATTCATCATGGAACTATTTCTGAGGATTCAAAGGAAAAAAGAAGAAGAAAAGGGTGATGATAATGATGTTGTTGTACCGAAACAAACATGTTCTTCATGTTGCTATATCAATTGTGATGAAAATAATGGTGCTGAACTGACACAAACATGTTTAGATGATGATGATGTTATACTGAAACAAACATGGCTGAACAAGAATATCCAGAGAGACTTGCTTCTGCTTGAAAACCAGATTCCATTGTTCATCTTGGAAGAGCTATACAGCTCTGTCGTCCCTGACACCGATAAGAAGTTTGGAAAATTCATTGAGATTGCTTACAATTACTTCAAGTGTTTTCATCCTTATAAACAAGATCTGGATCATCCCGAGCCCTCATTCGGGTTTGAACTAGTGAAACAAAACTGGAAAAGTGATCCAGTACATTTCACTGATTTGATAAGGTACGTACTTTTATCTCCACAAGCACGGTATTTAACTTTCAACAGTAATCTTGATTTTCAAATACTGTTTATCATGCATGCAATTACATTTTGTTTTTGAGAGAAAAGGCCTAGTGAGTTCGGCTGTATAATACTAATTATATATAGTTACATTTCCATTACAACAACAACAACAACAACAACAAGCCTTTATCCCACTAGGTGGGGTCGGCTACATGGATTGCAAGACGCCATTGTGCTCTATCATTTATTAAGCTTTTAGAAATATTATTAATTAAGAGATCACGTTCAACAACTTCCAAGAGTGTTCTCTTAGGCCTTCCTCTACCTCTCTTAATCGGACTCAAAGTTATATGTTCCACTCTTCTCACTGGTGCCTCCCTTGGTCTTCTTTGTACATGCCCAAACCATCTCAACCGATTTTCTACCATTTTTTCCTCAATAGGTGCCACCCTCACTTTTTTACGTATATAGTTACATTTCCATTATTATAATTAAATCTATAAATTTCTAAATAAGTTTGGATTTTATATGGTTTGGCTTTTCTTCACTTAGATTTCCCTCTACTTCCCCTCCATGGCACATCTCAACCATTATATCAAATTTTAAACTATTCAAATCAATTAAGTTCCAGTAGTTTGGAAATATTTCTTTATGCTCTCTCAGTAGTTTGCATATTGATATCTCTAACAACAACAATGACAGCAACAAACTGACAAATTCTTGTGAGGATTTTGCTTGACTAGGTACTTCTACACTTGTAAGGAAGTGACTGATCGTCAAAAAGGGTTGTCCTCTTGTGTTCTAAGGACTGCAACTAAGTTGAGGGAATCTGGGGTGAGCTTTGAGAAAGTCACTGATCGACCCTTACTTGACATAAAGTTCGATAAAGTTAAAATCTTGAGTTGGTTTCTGTGCTTAGGTTGTCTACCAAAATCCTCGTACTTCAAAGCTCGCTTGCAAATACCACAGTTAAAAGTAGACAACACAACAGAATGTATTTTTAGAAACCTCATAGCCTTTGAGCAGTGTCATTACTCGGATCAACCGTGCATCTGTAACTATGTCTCTCTAATTGACTCTCTCATTCACACCAAAGACGATGTAGAATTGCTGGTCGAGAAGGAAGTCATTGTCCATGAACTTGGGAGCGACAAGGAAGTGGCGACCCTGGTGAATTGCCTCTGCAAACATGTTGTGGCGAGCAAGACATGCTATAAAAAGACTATAGATAATCTGAATAAACATTACCAAAATGAATGGTATCATACTATGGCTTCGTTGAGGTTGGTGTACTTTAGAGACGCTTGGAGAGCAAGTTCTACTTTGGTCGGAATTGCTGTCCTCGCATTCACATTCTTCAACTTTTGGCGAATTCTTACATTGGTCCTCCACGTCGATCAAAGGTGACCTTAATTGGTTGTGATGTAGCATAGCATCTTTAAATTATAAGCAACTAAAATGACAGTGTTGATCGTATGATAAATAACGTGAGAGGATCTTCTTGCTGGTGTTTTGTCTAGAATTTGGTGAATAATATGTGATATTGGTAATATGTATTAGTAGGGGATGTGTCTGGATCTAAATGTAGAAGTTTAGGATCTAATTCTCAACAGTAGTTATGATAGTAGCATCATCGTTGTAAGCAGGGATAAGACTGTTTTAATATTTTATTTATGGATGTGTTTATCCACTTTTTTCCCCATGATTTCTCTTTAGGTGAACCCTCTTCTATAGAGTTTTTATTCATTAACGAGTTGAAAAGACTTTCGTGTTGGTATTTTTTTCTTTTCTTTTTTCTTTTTAATTTGACATACAAGAGTTATGCGAATAACAGCGACACATGAATACCTTTCTCTAAGACCTATAACTAAACTTAAAGATAACATGTTTTAAAAATTTAAAGAAGGATTAAGTCTTTTTAGTTTTTTCAGTACTACCTTACAAAAGATGACTATTGAAATTCAAAGGCATGTTAAGAATTTTTGATATCGAGCTGACAAAAACCAAGAGTTGTTTTTTCTGTAAGAAATCGTCACAAAAAGATGACTACTGAAAAATCCAAAGTTTTTTTTGGAAATTTTTTGAAATTTAGTCTTAGAAAAAAAAAATCAAAGATAGGTTGATTTTTTTTAGTAATGCCCCCTGGTGACTACTTGGAAAAAAATCAAGGAAAAATGATATTTAAGGACTTTTAAGAATATTAAGTATAGTTAAAAACCTCAAATTATTAAATTTCACAAAAAGACCAGGGTCTTTAGTTTTTTGAGCCAAAATAACTCAGTTATTATAAATTTTTAACTTCTTACAACTCAATCCCTATAATTCATTATATTAACTAATCATTAAGTTATAAAAACTGAATTATATTAAGTAAAATTTAAAGACTTAATCAATAATTTGGAGAAAATTTAAAAAGGTAACTAAAAGTTATTTTATCCCATCAATCCATTGGATTCTCGTCTGTTTTCATCTGGACATGTGTCTCTTTCCACTATATATAAATAATAGATAAAGGTAAAAGTATGTACCTAATCATAGCAGTAAAATGCATTGGTTCAGTGCTTTTCCACTTATTCTCTTCTAAGACAAACCTGTACTAAAGACTCCTTTTGATTCAATCCTTTTTGTTATCAAGTTACTCCTTTAAATTTTGTAAAGCAAAATAATTCTAAAAAAAACTTATATGAAAATTAGATTGCTGATGTGGGAATACGCCTGTTGATTAAATAAAAAACATGTCAGCCAAATTTGTCATGTTGTAATTACTTATTTGTTATTTATTTTATTTTTTTATAATTTATAATTTAACATTATACACTTTTATTAGGGCATATTTAAAATAAATAATAGATAATTATGACTTGCCAAAGCTGACTAATGTATGTTATTTAATCCATGTGTATATACCTACATTAGCAATTTAATTTCCACATCAAATTTTTTAAGGCTATTTTTTCTTACAAAGCTTAAAGGAGTAACTTGATAACTGAAGCAAACATTGAGGATTGAAATAATAAAAATTAAAGTTAAGGAACCAAATTGATAAAATTTCAAAATGTAAGGGACTAAAAGTTTCTCTATTCCAAAAATAACCCCTCCTTAATGCACAATAAAACCTGTAGTTACAGTCATGACTTTAAGTCCAAAACATGTAAAATAAAGAATCTCGTGGGTGTATATTCCACAAAGTTAATTTTACAATTTTGCAAAAATAAATTCAATAAAAAGAATCTAATGCTTCTTTAACTCTCCTCCAACCCCACTTGCTATCCCACTTTTATTCCTTGGCATATACACTAGGAGTTCTTCTCCATGTAAGTAACATGAGACTTCTTCTTTTGACACATTCATACAATAACTACAATAATGCTACAACATTTTAGGCCCGTTGCCATAGGTTGGAAAATTATTGCTTATATGTGTAGGCAACGGTTTTCGATCATGGTCCAAGTGGCCGTTACCTAAAGTTTAAGGCAACATACGATTTTTTAGAATTTTAGGCAATGAAAAGAAAGATTGTTGCTTATTGTCGGCCATTGCCTATTGTTATTATCTGAGTTATTTACTTGGAATGCAGCCATGTCAAATATATTATCCTTCAACTATGAACTAAACCTAGACTAATAAAATTTAGTATATAAAAATGTCAATCAAACCATGTTTCTATGAATCAACAAATCTTAGGCATATAATAGATAATTTATTAGTGGGGTTATATCCCTACATTATTCATTGTTAACAATAGTTTTGCACATTATTGGCTATGCACGCCTCATTCTAACAAATGCTCTAGATATTTTGTTATTATTTCATAAGACAACCTACTCCACATTCATATAGATGTTTTTCTCAAGTGTACCTGCAATGAATATGTCATAAGGACTAAGGAAAACATTAAGATCTTTTGATTAGCCTCCAATCAATGCATTCTAGCACTTTCTCAAGTCATAGGAAAGGATATAAAAATTTAGTGTTAGTAAAACTAAAAAATGACTTGTTTTTACCTATTCAACCTTCTTCATGGGATCTCCAATTATAAAGGTTTGATTTCCATCACTATTAATTCAATTAGGCTTAAGTCTCATTCCCCTTGATGTTTTAATGATAAATTTCTTCCCTATAGGCATAGTTAATGGATTCACCAGATTTAACTATGATCTTACATAATTGTAATGATTGCCTTGAAATTATCAATAATCACCATTCTATCACATCATAATGGTAATTAGGAGCTATCATACTCCCAAGCTTACCGTAAATATAGAAGGGTTAAGACAATTAAACATTTAAAATTAATTTAATTTGAAACTCATTTGGGATCCCATAAAAACCCTTCAAATAAGTAGTTTGAGCTCAAATTTAATGACTTTTTAATTATATGGGAAGCATGGAAAAATTTAGGAAGCAAAACATTTGAAAATAGTGCTAAAAATGTCATTTTAGTGCATTCTAGCACATAAGCCGCAGCTTATGAACTATGAGCCTCGGCATTTAGCAAAGAAAGGCTAATTTAGCCTTTATGTCATGTGCTGCAACTTGTGTGCAACATGTTGCAGCACATGTGTCACTACCATGATAGCTTTTCAGGGTGAACTTTAAATGCATACCATTTTCACATTTGGTGTCTAATTAGAGTAATTCAAGCGCTTACACCAAGCTTATTAAATAAGCTAACTAATAGTATAAGTTTTGTTCCAATCCAATGCCATATAAGAATTTTAGACACCTGAATGCAAAAAGTCATATTTTAAAATGATTTTCAAGTATTAATGTACCCAAAACTCAAAACTTATACCATAATTCATTTTGAGGCTTGAATCAAGTCCAATAGACTAATATACACTTGATTGACCATTTAAATATATGACAGCACATTAAGCACAAAATTTGGCCACTTAAGGCTCGATTTCACCTCATATGGCCAATTTTACAACATTGTGCACAAATAACACTTGGCCTTATCATTATCACATACTACCTCTATTAAAAAATATAAGATATTTTTTGAGGTGTTAGATGTTTAAAAATATAAGGCATTTTTAGTCTTTCAAAATGTAATCATTGCCTTTTTTCTAAAAGCACCCCTATTGATGGATGACTTTATATTTATTGGAGGGTGTTTAATAGGGATAAATATGAAAAAATAGAGTTAGTTCAAAAGTAGGTAACTACTTTATTAGGGGTAAGATTCAGTTAAAAATGATTTACATTTTTGAACGGAGGGAGTAACATGCTAAATTTACATTATCACCACATATGTACAACATTCCTTATACTTGTACTAATATTTTGGCCTAGTTGCCATAAAAATCACCATATATTCACCACATACACAATAGGGCTAAAATACAATATAACATGATATAATACAAGTGCAACTATCAAAATGTTATGCATTTCTAGTTGGCAACATATAGATCATATCTTTAAGGTTATGTACACAACTCAAAATAAAATCGGGCATTACAATATGTGTAGCTACTTAGCTAATCCTTGCCTGATTCCTTCTCCAACTCAAATTCGACAGTAAAACCTGTAAGAAAATAACAACTACAAGGTGAGATAAAAATTTTAGTAACTAATATAATTTGCATTATCGATTAACATGCCAAGCTATAAACAAGCTCTAAAAAATACATAGTAAGCACACAATATACAAATTACTACAATTACAATGCATAATCACTATCCATTCGGTCCTCTAATACTCTCGACTGAATTGGTAGGCTATTTCACAGAACCAAACCATATGTTTGGTCCCTAAATTCACCATCTATATAGAACTACCTGGCCGAGGCGTCCTAAATCACTTTTGAACTACAGTTTTCCCTTATTACGAGTAACTGGGTACCATTACTTCAACACCGCATCTTACGGATGCTAAGGAGCATAATATCTAACTTCACACCCTTTTTGGTACTAAGGAGAATAACTCTTCAACATTGTACCCTTTTAAGTACTAAGGAGAAATATAAGCTGCACCTTATGTCTTGCAGTGCCGATAATGCCATATAAATTTATCTCTACTAACTCCACTAAGGTGAACTCCTACCCATTCACATGCCACATTTCTCAATATGTTTCTACTAGACCATGCATATCAACTTTAAATTAGTATAATAAATACTTCTACCACTTATTTCAAAAGTAAAAGTTTTCTCAAATTACTATGCTTCCCTTGTTTTTCTAAAATACTTAGCTTTTACGACATACCTATGTATATATATAAACAATCATATAATCAACTTGTGAATCACTTTTACCTTAACCTTCTTCTTGCTAAAAGGGTTACCCATAGTATTAAATCTGCTCTTAGGTTATAGCAAGGTTCCTCACACCACAATCGACAACAATAAGTACTATATGTTAATTTTTAATTAACACACGTACTATTAACTACTTATATCACCCCACTTCTCCTACTTTTTACTCTTATTCTTACCAAAGAAGCTAGCTAAGGTTACAAATAGTTCACACAATCCCCTCAAGCTTCCCTCTAACTTTATCACAACATATCACTTAATGTATCAACTTATCACACTTTAAAACCCTATAATTTAACTAGGGCTTGATCCAACTCATTCTAAACAATACCTAAGCTTCATATTAACACTTATATGAGGTTAAAAAACTTAAATCAAACTTTTAAAGTCACATGAAATCTTTAAAACAGTGACTCATAGCTTCATCAATTCAAATTAA